ATCCCTGATTTAATTACTCTGCTCCAAGGTTTATACAGTGATAACACTTTTAGTTTGGGAGGTATTATTGCTAGACGGTTAAATATGAACCGTACTAAGGGCCCCATCTTTGGAGGCATCTATGCCACACGCCTAGTCGCACATTTTAACATACCTATAGGCATGCTGAGAAGGAAGAAAAGGTGCTGCCCCGTGTTTATTTAGATCATAAAAGTATGGTGGCACATGATTTTATTGTTAAAAATAGGGCATGGGAGCTTAAATATCAATTGTTCTTTAATAAACATCATCCTAAGACTATTACCTTGCCTGCTCCATCTTTGTTTGATTTGACTACAAGCACGTACCTTGTTCCGTTGATGGCTATTCACGCCTACCGGAACCCTGCACCAGTCGAGGAGCCAGAACAGGAACCACAAGATGAGCCTCCACGACAATCTGTTTATTCTTGGGATCCAGAGATGACTGTCAGCCAGTGGCAGTCAGAGTCTTCTTATTCATCACAGTATGATCCCAACTATTCTTCCTCATCATAGTACGACCCCAACAACTATTATTATGGATATCCGCCAGGCCAACCATGGCCATAGACCAACTTAGGCCAAAAGCCTAAGCTTGGGGGAGTACGTATTTCTCACCGACATTACATTTATGTTCACACACACTCATTGCTAGATGTCGGTGCTCATACTTTTTCACTGTAATATCCATGCTAGTTTATGTTCTTTTTCCTGCTTTCTTCTTGTGTGTTTGTTAAACCTTAAGAAAAACCAAAAAAATAGTAGTAGTTTATTTTTCTGCTGTACTAGTAATAAATTAAAAAGAAAACCCAAAAATATTTCCCGTTCTTCTTTTGCTTGTTGGGAGCTTCCCCGTGTAAATAGTTTTATTTCTTTTCTTTTCTTTGGAGGTCAGTAGGAGAAGACCATAATTAAATTGTTGAAGTGTCTCTTATATGTATTATTGTTGATTTAACCAAGAGCCCATATTGCCTTGTCTTCTCTTGTTTATTGAATGCTTGCAGATTCCAGCTTAGTCCAATGCACGTGCACTCTTATTATTATTCACACCGTTCGGTCGTGCAAGTGAAAGGCAATTATGATGATATATGATGGACTGACTGAGATGAGAAAAGCTGGTATGAACTCGACCTCTTTTGTTTTTGTAAATATGATGAGCCCGTCGTTCTTGATTCAACTTATTATGAATAAACATGTTTGCAATGACAATTAGAGATCATAGTTGCTTGTGCCATGCTTGATTAGCTATGAGTTATAATGGTTTACCTTGTGTGCCAACATGCTATTGAGATGATTATGATGTGGTATGATGGGGTGGTATCCTCTTTTGAATGATTTAAGTGACTTGACTTGGCACATGTTCACGCATGTAGTTGAAACAAAATCAACATAGCCTTCATGATATTTATGTTCATGGTGGATTATATCCTACTCATGCTTGCATCCAATGTTTATTAATTTTACGCATGTTCACGCATGGCTGTTGTCGCTCTCTAGTTGGTCGCTTCCCAGTCTTTTGCTAGCCTTCACTTGTACTAAGCGGGAATATTGCTTGTGCATCCAATCCCTTAAACCCCAAAGTTATTCTAGATGAGTCCACCATACCTTCCTATATGCGGTATCTACCTGCCGTTCCTAGTAAATTTGTATGTGCCAAACTCTAAACCTTCAAATAAACATTCTGTTTTGTATGCTCGAATAGCTCATGTATTAACAAAGGCTGTCCTTATCTTCCGTGTTAGGCGGGTTATTCTCAAGAGGAGTGGACTCTGCTCCTCACTCACGAGAAAATGGCTGGTCACCGGGATGCCCAGTCCCATGCTTTATGCAAACTAAATCAAAATAAATTGCAAACAAAACTTCCCCTGGGACCTGATGTATGTTGGAGACACTCGTTGTTTCGAGCAAGCCATGGATTGATGCTTGTTGGTGGAGGGGGAGTATAAACTTTACCATTCTGTTTGGGAACCGCCTATAATGTGTTTAGCATGGAAGATATCGCCATCTCTTGGTTGTTACGTTGACAATGAAAGTATATCGCTCAAAATACAATTTATCTCTATTTCAAAACCGAGCTCTGGCACCTCTACAAATCCCTGCTTCCCTCTGCGAAGAGCCTATCCATTTACTTTTATGTTGAGTCATCACCCTCTTATTAAAAAGAACTAGCTGGAGAGCACAGCCGTCATTTGCATTCATCACTGTTAATTTATATTGGGTATGACTATGATTGGATCTCTTTTACCATGAATTACAATGTCTAGTCAGTCCTTGATCTTTAAAGGTGCTCTGCATTTATGTTTTGCGGTCTCAGAAAGGTCTAGCGAGATACCATCTTGTTATATCATATTATGATTGTTTTGAGAAAGTGTTGTCATCCGAGATTTATTATTATGACTTGCTAGTTGATTATGCTATTGATATGAGTAATTTTGAGACCTGAGAATTATTGCAAATGTGGTTAGTTATGATCTATACTGAAAACTTGAATGCTGGCTTGACATAGTTACAACAACAAGAACAAACAGAGTTTGTAAAAGTTTTTCTTTCTTTCTTTCTTTCTTTCTTTCTTTCAGTTTGTCAACTGAATTGCTTGAGGACAAGCAAGGGTTTAAGCTTGGGGGAGTTGATACGTCTCCACCGTATCTACTTTTCCAAACACTTTTGCCCTTGTTTTGGACTCTAACTTGTATGATTTGGACGGAACTAACCCGGACTGACGCTGTTTTCAGCAGAATTGCCATGGTGTTGTTTTATGTGCAGAAAACAAATATTCTCGGAATGACCTGAAACTCCACGGAACATCTTAGAAAAAACAATAAAAAATCCTTGCCAAAGATGAAGACCAGGGGGCCCACACCCTTCTCACGAGGGTGGGGGCGCCCCCCTAGGGCGCGCCCCCTACCTCATGGGCCCCCTGTTGCGTCTCCGACTCCAACTCCACCTCCATATATTGAGTTTCGATAAGAAAAAACTCAGAGAGAAGAAATCATCGCGTTTTATGATACGGAGCCACCTCCAAGCCCTAAAACCTCTCGGGAGGGCTGATCTGTAGTCCGTTCGGGGCTCCGGAGAGGGGAATTCGTCGCCGTCATCATCATCAACCATCCTCCATCACCAATTTCATGATGCTCACCACCGTGCGTGAGTAATTCCATCGTAGGCTTGCTGGACGGTGATGGGTTGGATGAGATTTATCATGTAATCGAGTTAGTTTTGTTAGGGTTTGATCCCTAGTATCCATTATGTTCTGAGATTGATGTTGCTATGACTTTGCTATGCTTAATGCTTGTCACTAGGGTCCGAGTGCCATGATTTCAGGTCTGAACCTATTATGTTTTCATGAATATATGTGAGTTCTTGATCCTATCTTGCAAGTCTATGGTCACCTACTATGTGTTATGATCCGGCAACCCCGAAGTGACAATAATCGGGACCATTCCCGGTGATGACCATAGTTTGAGGAGTTCATGTATTCACTATGTGCTAATGCTTTGTTCCGGTTCTCTATTAAAAAGAGGCCTTAATATCCCTTAGTTTCCAATAGGACCCCGCTGCCACGGGAGGGTAGGACAAAAGATGTCATGCAAGTTCTTTTTCATAAGCACGTATGACTATATACGGAATACATGCCTACATTACATTGATGAATTGGAGCTAGTTCTGTGTCACCCTATGTTATGACTGTTACATGATGAACCGCATCCGGCATAATTATCCATCACTGATCCGGTGCCTATGAGTTTTCCATATATTGGTTTACGCTTATTTACTTTCCCGCTGCTACTGTTACAATCACTATAAAATACAAAAAACATTACTTTTGCTGTCTTTAGTTTTGTTGCCGCTACCACCACTATCATATTACTTTGCTACTAAACACTTTGCTGCAGATAGTAAGTTTCCGGGTGTGGTTGAATTGACGACTCAGCTGCTAATACTTGAGAATATTCTTTGGCTCCCCTTGTGTCGAATCAATAAATTTGGGTTGAATACTCTACCCTCGAAAGCTGTTGCGATCCCCTATACTTGTGGGTTATCAGGATCCACCTGGTCGAAGCGTACGTAGCGTTGTCATTCTGGTCGCGAACGTGTACGTACATACTGGTCGATGTACAGGCGCGCACGTGTCATAGTAGAGGCGCGCACGTGTCGTAGTAGAGGCACGCACGTAGCATGTACACGTACGTACAACGGCCAGGGTGCAAGAAAAAAAATACGGCCACATATGTGTACATACAGGCGGGGTCTCGAACGCCTACTCGCGCATACGTACGGCGAGGGCTCGTGGACATGGCTGGGTCGGAACGGAGAAACAATGTCGTCGTCGTGTTCATGGGGAGGCAACAGAATGCGTCGTGTTCATGGGGAGGCAACGGAATGCGTCGTGTTCATCGGGAGGCAACAGAACGCGTGGAAGCCAACCGGCTGGGTCAGTACGGAATGCGTGGTCGTGTTCATCGGGAGGGCTTGGACGGAACAGGCGATGGAAACGAGGCCTGGAGTACCACACAACGGAGGAAACAGACCTCCTACGTTCGGAACGGGGTCCTGTTGATCGGGAGGGGTCTGGCGTACCGTAAAACAGAGGAAACAGACCTCCTACGGTCGAAACGGGGGTCCTGTTCATCGGGAGGGGTGTGGCGTACCGCAAAATGGAGGAAACGGACTTGTGTTGGAGCGCTACTGTCGAAACGGGGGTCCTGTTCATCGGGAGGGGTGTGGCGTACCGCAAAACGGGGCTCCACGGGATACTGTTCATCTCCACCATCGACCCCCTCCAGCCTCCACGAGCAACTGTTCATTCACCGTCGACCTCCTCCAGCCTCCACCTGCGACTGTTCATCCACGGGCTCCTGTTCATCCAGCCTCCACCGCGCGCTACTCCACCGGCTACTGTTCAACCAGCCCTCTCCACGGGCTCCTGTTCAACCACCCCTCCACGGGCTACTGTTCATCCTGCCATCCACCGTCTACTGTTCATCCTGCCCTCCATGGGGTGGTCCTATTCATCCAGCCCTCCACGGGGGCCTGTTCATCCAGCCCCAACCGGCTCGATCGATCGGAGTCCTGTTCATCCAAAGGCAACACCACGGGGTCCTGTTCATCCACCCCCACCGGGAACTGTTCATCCAAACCCCCGCAACGCTCACTGTTCATCCAGAGGCAGCATCGATCGGCTTCAGTTAGCAGCAGTAGCGAAGGAATCGCTCGATCGGGTTCAGTTAGCAGTCATCGATCAACCGCTCGGGTTCAGTAACGCGTAGCCTGCAGTGCAATCGCTCGGGTTCAGTTAGAGCCCAACGCCTCGCTCGGGTTCAGTTAGAGCCAACGCCTCGCACACACTCGCGTACGTGTACGAGAGAAGCGCGCATCGCTCGGCCCCCGACCTCCCACCGTAACCGGGAACTCCCCGAAATTTTCCTCGCCCTCGCTTCTACCACGGTTTTTTCCGTCATGGACGGCCCAAAGAATGTCATGCAGCTGCGTCTCCGGCCCGCCCAGGATGAAAAGCCCATTTTCTGTCAAGATTTTTTGTCATAGAAGTAGGAGCCCACCACATCTATGATGATACCGGGTTTTGTCACAATTATCTTCATAGAAGTGTCATATGTATGACATAATTTTTTTTGTTTGGCCCAAAATGTCACGGATGTGTCTTTTTTTGTAGTGGTGGACATATCCGTTCGTTGCGGCTCTGTCCTCTCGGGAGCGGCGGAGTGTAATGCGGACTGCCATTGCCTCATCCAACCCGCACGGGATGACACCCCGGTCGACGGATCCGGACTAGCCGGAGTCTGATCCGCTGCCTGCCATGCCGGAGAAGGCCGGAAACCGCCGGAGGTGAGCTCGCGTGGCGGAGGGGAGTGAATTGAAGTGGCTAGGGTTGGTCCGGCGAGCGGGTGGGGACGAATATATGTGGGCTGGGTGGGCCAGCATGGGTCGGGTCCGACGTGGCGGGCATGCCCCCAGATCTGCACCATATTTGGGCTGGATATGAGGGGTCCCGGTCAGCCCGAGCATTTGAGGCATGTTTGAAACATCCGCCTGGATCGAAAAATTATGATCGGTCAATGACCGGGCAGCCTGCCCGGGCCCACAAGCCCGGGGGTGCGCCCCCAGGGCACGCATGGCAGGCTTGTCGCTCCCTCGTGACTCTCCAGGTCTTCTCCCGAAGCTTTTAGGGTCCCTTCTGGTCCAGAAAAAATCATCAAAAAGTTTCGTATCGTTTGGACTTCGTTTGATACTGATTTCCTGAAATGCCAAAAACAACAACTGACACCAGGCACTAGATTAATAGGTTAGTCCCCAAAAATGATATATTACATATAATCGCATAATAAACATTCAAGATGATACTATAATAACATGGAACAATCAAAAATTATAAATACGTTGAAGACGTATCAATCGTTAGGGAAAAGCAAGCAAGTGGAGGCTTGATAGAAGATTTTTCCTGTAGTTCGTCTATCCAACTCAATATTGATGGAGGCTTCGAATTACAGATATTTTAGGATCACAGAGATCCCGGTTGCGAGGTCAACATGGAATCCATGAAGGAGCAACCAACCTGTTCCACCATTGCTTACAACCACGAAAGTCTAACCTCACTCGGGGGTAGATTTTTCCGAAGTAGGCGATCTATGGTGAAAAGTACGAACTTCTTGGCTCCTTCACACACCTAGCCGATCTAGTATGCGCACACCGTTCAAAATTAACAAGATGAGCTTGCTTGGTGTGGAATTCCTTGCTCTTGTGCTTCAAAAGACAATTCGTCTGGGTCACTCTCAAGATGGATATTTGGACCGAAGGGGTTGGGGTGATGAGCAAGGAGAGAGATTAAATATCAAATGATTGGCTTGAAATTTGAAGTAGAAAGAGCCTTGAACTTAGCACTAGACAATTCTCTCACAGAAAAATTGATTTGAATGGAAGCTTCGAGTAAACTGGTGGGAAAGGGCGGGGTATATATAGGTTGGACCATGTGACATTTAAACACCATTTTGCACAGTTCGGCTCTACGAATGATCGGCTCGGAAGCTCCGAGCAAAACTAAAGGAGGTTACTCGAAGTAGCTCGGAGGGTCTGACCCAATAATCATTTGCAGGCTTCGAGTGACCTACAACACATCTGTGCATACTTAAGCTATTATTCAGAATTTTCGATGAAGGATGGTTTGGCGAATCCAGTCAAGCCAAGAAGAGCAAACAAGTGCACCAGACAATCCAAGTACCGATGACATGGAGGCTCCGAGTGATTTAGGTTGAGCAATGACTATCCCTAGATTCCACATAGAAGTGGATCAGAGGCTCTGAGTAGTGTGAACTGTGAAGTCAGAGAGATATAGCAGAAAAAATGGGAGTCTTTTTTATTCTTTCAAGTTTGATCTCTAAGCACATATGAGAAAGAAACTCAACTTAGCAACCTCGATCACCTTTTGATAGTATTGGGACTTCTACGAACTCAACGTGATCTTGGATCACTAAAATGTAAAAGCTAAGCCTCGAGTCTTGTCAACACTTGTCCGTTTTAAAGTAGGGATCACCAACCATTTCCCTTGTTGCATCTTTTGGGACCTAATATCAAATGGACTTTATAAATCATCAATCCCCTGAGATATATGTTACATTAACGACCAAAATCCACCTGGGGGTTGAAGATGCACTTTTAGACCCCTTGGCGCAACCCCTTCCGTGATTTAAAATATGGACATATATAAGTGTCCATTGACCATGACAACTACAATTCCCCCCTGTACTATTTGTCTAGTCCAAATATCCAATTCACATGCTGCACTGGGGAACCATTCATTAACAGAAAAAACACAAAAATCGATTTGATCTTATCATAAGATTTTTCAAGATCTACCATAAAGAGTAAATCACTATCCTTTCTCGTACTGATCTCATGCAAAGACTCATGAAGATCCCACCATCTAGATATATCTGCCTTTAATAAAGGTCGTTTGAACTGGAGCAACCACTTTATGTGCCGGACTAATAGTTCTATTATTTACTACCTTAGTGATCCATTTAGAAATCACATCAAGCAAACATATAGGCCTATACAATAATATTTTACCAGATATCAGTTTTTTGGCAACAAAGTAATTCGTAGTTCAATATAGGAATATCATATTGAATACATGCATGTATGATCATCTAAGGGTCCAAATGCTCCGTATTCAATGGTTTGTCAGAGTGTTGCGCCTTGGCTCGGATCTCTCCATATAAGTAGGAGACGAAGCCCCAGAGGGATAGCGCGAGGGCGACACCTTTGGTACCGTTGAATGGCTCATGGAAGAATAGGACAGCAAGCACCTCAGTCACTGGGATGAGCACGGTCATGATGACACCGGCGAGCAGCGCTGAGCCATAGAAGATGGCACCAATGGTGCCGAGGAAGAAGAACTGGTACACAATGGCCGAGGCGGCCAGCAGTAGGTAGTAGCCAATCTGGCCGAGCCCGAACTCCCGGGCTTCTCTTGGGATAGCCTGCATATGATTCGCGCGTTAAAATTATATATCTTCATTGAAAATCATCAATCTTTTGTAATGAAGTACATGATATACTTGAACTTCTATCTCCTCCGAGAGAAAAAAAAAATCTAAGTCACAGTCGGCTAAGATTTCAAGTCTTAGTCTATCTTATGAATTTGCTGGTCTAAAAAATGTCCAGTGTGTAATACTTTGTACATCCAGAACAAAAATGTATGCAATGTTTATTCCTAGAGCCTGAAGGATGCACAACTTTGTACATGCCACAAAATCAAATCAATGGTGCTCGGTGTCGATTGAAACGTAAGAAAAAACAGTCGGCTAAGACTTAGTAGAACCAAAAAGTAAATTGAAAAGAATAACTCGCACCACATGCTGATGAACTATGTGAGTTGTGAAGTACTATCAAGTAACTAAGGTTAGGTCCATGAAAAAATCGACACGCATAGGTCCGTAAACTTGCAAAAACCAAGTTCTTTGCAAGAAAGCAAATACACCATCTTTCCCCGCTTGGTTGTACGCGTAACTTTCCCCTGTACATGCATACGTCCCGTACTTTTCGACGCCAAAAATTCATCGCTCTATGCTATGCAAAGCTACTACACGCAAAGGCGCTCTCGTATTTCCCAATCACGACATCATCTACACGGCTAGCGTTTTCCCATCCGAGAAAGACGTAATAAGTATGGACTAGTTGTCCAATGATTGGATTTTGCCGGATGAGCATAGATATACGTACGTACAGTCTAGTACACGTCGCGCAAGTTGCCACGGCAAGGTTCAAATCTACATCACTGGCATTTATGGTTTCTGCGGTCGTTTCTAGGCACTTTCTTGCAGTGGCGGATTTTATTGGCGCTATGCGAATATTGGTACGTAGAGTAGTGTCCTATCTTTCAGAAACGTGCTCCTTTGGGAAAGCGCTAAACTTTCGATCAACGAAGATCTACGTTTCTTAGTGGGCCAAAATAGTTTACCATATCTGTGTAGTTTTTCGTCTCTGCTTTTTACCTAGTAGTCTTACAATTGCATCACTTGGATGATGACATGAAGGAACTCCGTTCGTTCTGTTCATGCTTTGCTGTTCCTACCAGAAATGATAACGTTGTCGTGAACAGTTCGAAAATGCGATTGTTATTTACTGATCTTAGTAGAGTTAATTGCTGTTACATGGATTTTGAACTATCTTTGCCCCCTAGGTTGTACGCATAGCTTTCCCTATACACATGTTCATCCGGCAGAAACACGCAACAACTGACACGCTCTTCGATGAGGTCGAAGGGAAGATGGATGCGGAGGCCGGCGTGGAGGAGCCGGAGCTGCTGCTGCCGGCCATGTACCCGGAGCCAGGCGCGGAGATAGTGGACATCTTTGACGACGGTTAGGGTAGTATAGGTTATTGATCCACGTTGCATGATTTTGTATAGATTTAAGGTTAGAGTATGAGGTATCCGGATACCAATGAGCAAATCTGAGGCTTGATCGGTCACAGACGAGTCCGTCCGAGCACGTCCGCGGACGATTTGAGGGATCGGATTTGCTGTCCACGACTGTAGATGATCTTATGCGCTTCTGCTGTGAGCCGGCAGTCCAAGTTCTACTGTAGCAGCAGTACAAGAAAGTTTACGTGCGACTATAACAAGTTAACAACAGCAGGAGAAAAACAGCTGCGGGCTGAAAAACTTACGTGGAAATCGTTGTTCACAAGCATCCCGACCGCACTGAAGGCCGTGGCGGTGAACCCGATGACGATCTGCATCTCCATGACGAGGGTGTACGTGACGGCCGCGCCGGTCCTCGCCGCGTGCTTCGCTTGGCTGAGCTCCATGACGGGCAGCATGAGGCCGTAGAGCGCCGCGGCGCCCAGCGTCATGCCGAACCCGGCGGAGTACTGCGCCCGCGTCACCCCCGCGGGGCGGTCACCTCCGGCGTTCATCCCCAGCATGGCGGCGCCGACGCTGAGCAGCACCACGGCGTTCACGGAGAAGGCCGTGAACCGCTGGCGCACGAGCAGCAGCGCGAAGGCGGCCGTGAAGGCCAGCTGCGTGGAGATGAGGATGGAGGAGGTGGACACCGGGAGGTAGGCCAGCCCGTAGGCGTAGAGGAGGTCGTCGAGGCCGGTCATGAAGCCGATGGCGACGGTCGCGGCCAGGAGGCGGGGCGACATGAGGAAGAGCGGCGCGACAGAGCCGCGGTCTTTGTGACTCCGGCGACGGGAGAGGAAGGAGGCGCTGAGCGGCGCGAGCAGGAGCGGCCACCCGGCGGTCTGGAGCAGGCTGGAGAGCCACTTACGGGTCCCGCCGTGGAGGAAGTAGGCGCGGAGGAGGAGCGGGCCGAACGCCGAGCCGACGACCATGAGGAGGAAGTTGATGACGAGGAGGGGGTTGAGGCGGAGCGGTTTAGCGGCGTCGCTGGGGAGCTGCTTGGCGCTGCCGTTCTTGCATGGTTGCTGCTGCGCGCGGCGCGGGCCTGTTGCTTCCACCTCCATGACCGAGGTGGCCGGCCGGCCGGCTGATCTCGATCGAGGTTTGGGAGGGAGGGAAGCTGCCCGGCTCTAGCTAGAACGAAGGTGCGTACAGAGTGTGAGTACGTGCGCTAGCTATATACTGCCTCGAGATGCAAAAGCGTTGGCGTTCTCGGCGTGCCGTACGATACGATGTGTTTTTCTTCAAGAGGGATGGTGGTCGTTGTTCTAGAACAATCAACATGAGATAAGGTCCCTGCGAGCGGCTAGCGCATCCGGTGCTCCTGTGTCCTTGCGTGCACGCGGTACTCTCGATACCGCAACGCTCTGATAAATCATGGAAAACTAGCTTAACACAGAGCATGCATGCATTTTTCTTTTTTGCGAGGGAAACACACATGCATTTGTCATGGACCAACAAATTATATTGCCTAACCACGTCAAACTACTGTTGTTATGCTCACATATATTGTCGGAAAATTTCTTGCTAAACCTTGGTGCATAATGCATTGCACCCATAATAAACAGTAAAATGTAGAACGACTACTGAAATCTAGTGTCGATAGTGACAATGGGTGTTTCTTATAGGCAATTTGTATGCCTAAGTTCTTTGGGCCTAGGCGCTCTGGTGTTTGGCTCTGACGATCTCCCTTGATGCTGCATTTGTCTTGTCCCTATCCCCAACCTCTAGTGTCTTTTCTTACTTTTTTTCTTTTTTTCTTTTTTTTCCTCTTTGGGGTTTCATTCAATTTTCCCCCATTAACCAAAAATGTTAGTTTTTGGATCCGGTTTTCCTTATAAACCGGACTAACTCTTTTCTTCTTTATGAAATGCAGGAACCCCTGCCCTCGCATGAGGTTTCTCAAAAAAAAAAGAGATAGTAACAATGGCCTTTTCTTATAGCCATTTTGAATTAGTCACTCTACAAAGTTAGGTTTGCCAATCTTATCTCCGGACCTATGTATCAGAACTAATAAACTGAAATTCATGAACATTGTATACACCATTTATTTTAGTTTCTGCAGATATAGCTCTTGTGGGGTCTAGAACACCGACTGCATTGCCCCGAAGGGCTCGATCTAGAGGGATACTACTTGGGGTTAAGTGCGAAACATTAGAAGTAGTAAATGTGGTATATGGAGATTTTGCCGTCAAATTTCGTGTGAGGTCAAAAATTGATGGATTCAGATGGGCTTTGATGGCGGTATATGGCGCAGCTCAACCTGAATTTAATTATGATTTTCTTGCAGACCTGGTGAGAATCTATGGGGATGAAAGGTTGCGTATTCTTGTGGGGGAAGATTTTAACACAATTAGAAAACGCGAAGAGAAAATAATGACAGTTTCGATGGAAGATGGTCATTCATGTTTAATATGATCATTGAGAGTCTCGATTTGAGGGAGATTGACCTTAGAGCATCTCCAGCCGCGCTCCCAGAAAGGCCTCCCCAGGTGTTTTTTTCGCGCCGGCGCAGAAAAATCGGCTCAGTCGCGCCTCAGGAGCCCGATTTTCGCCGGCCTGGGCCGAATTTAGCGCCGGCGGACCCAGGCCGAACCCGACGCGCTGGGGGGCGCTGGGGGGCGCCGGGGCGAGCGGTTTTGGCGCGAAAGAGCCGCGGGTCCGCCGCGTCAGCGACACCGTGCGTCTTCATCCCCGAACGCCTCGGTTTCCCGCGGGGAATCAATGGCAAGGCTGCCGCCGGCCAGCCTTACCATTGATTCCTCACGGGCGGCGCACCGACGCCTTCCCTCCCTCGCACGCGTACACACGGGGCGACGCCGCTGTATAAGCCGGTGGCCTCCCTCGCCTCTGGCCACACTAGCCACACCAGCCCTAGCCCGCCGTCTACCTCTCCCGAGCGCCGCCGCCGAGTCCTCCCTCTCCTCCCTCCCTCTCACGATGGCCGAGCGATTCCCCGGAGATGAGGCCGCGGCCAACAGCTTCAGCCGCCGCTCGCTCCGCGAACAGGAGTCTTGGCTCCTGTTCCAGGCGAACATCCCGGCGCCGCCAGACATGCGCGCCGGGCCAACGGGGTGGAGACTCAGCAACGGGGGAGTGCCCATTCTCCCGTTGCCCGACGCCGTGGCGAAACCGGGCTACTTCGCCGACGAGGTCGACGTCGTGCGCGCCTCCCTCACCGACGCCCAGCTCGCCCTCCCCGAGTACGCTGCCGACAACATAGCGGCGTGGACGACGTACTTCCAGCGCCGGCAGCAGCAAAGGATGGTGTCCATCAACGGTGCGCCGGTGGTGGGCGGACCGAAGAACAGCGAGGGATGCCACCTGTGGTGGGGTGTCCTCGGCCGCACCCTCGAGGGCGTTCTGACGTACCTCGAGGGCGGCAACGACCCGCCGTTGGCATACCCCCCAGCGAGGGCGGCCGCCACGGCCACGGCTCACCGCCGACGCGACGGGCAATGGTTGCCTAGGAGGTTCGGAGCCTCCTCTTCTTCCTCCTCCCGCTCTTCCTCACACTTGTCCGATGCTCCGGCGCTGCTCAGCGTCAAGGCCGAGCCCGCGGTGGAGACGCCGCTCGGCCGGCGCACTCGCAGCGCCAGCATCATCATCAATGAGGGCGGCCGACGCGCCCCCTCGTCGGCTCCTCTGCGCTTCATCAAGCCCAAGACGTAGTCGGGCCTGGCGCCGGTGAAGACGGAGCCGGGCCTCCCCGCGGTGAAGACGGAGCACGGTGGCGACGTCGAGCTCGATGACGACGCGGCCCTAGAATGGGCGCGCGCGGACTCCCTGAAGATGTCGAGGGAGCGCCAGTGCGCCGCCCTACGGCGATTCGCGCAGCGCCGCCGGGGCCGCGACGAAGGAGGAATCATCGTCATCGAGGACAGCGACGACGACGACGCCGCGCCGCTGCACCATCCCGCATAGGCGACGCCGGTCAGGGGTCCACCAGGGACGGCCGTGTCAAGGAGAAGAAGCCGGACGACGACGACGACGGCGGCGACGACGGCGACTACTCCGCTTTTAGCCAGTTCTTTTTTTAATTATATATATTATGTAATAAAAACCCGCTTTTTAAATGTAATATCTGCCGAACTTCGCCGAACTTTGAACTTTGCTATATTTTTTAATTTTTTTGAACGCGCCTGGGACGGCCCTGGGGCCGGCGGCTGAGACCAACTTGGCCCCAGGCCGATTTTTTGCACCGGCTCACCCCAGGGGTGATTTTAGGCGCCCCCTGGGGGGCCAACGGCTGGAGATGCTCTTACTGGCAGACAGTTTACGTGGGCGAACACATTACCGGTTCCAACATGTGAGAAGTTGGACCGGGTGCTCACCAATATAGAGTGGGAACAAAAGTTTCCTTTGGTAACGGTACATGCGCTTCAGAGAGCAATATCTGATCATACACTGTTGTTGGTCGACACGGGTGAAGCGACCCATGTGGGAAACAAAAACATTTTCTCTTTTGAATTAGGATGGTTCGAGAGGGAAGGCTTCATGGATCTCATTGCTAGAGAATGGGCCAAGGAGTGAGGTGGGTTCTAGTGGTGATAGATGGCAAAATAAAATTCGACACTTGCGCCTGTTCTTGAGGGGCTGTGCCAAACATCAGACTGGGATATACAAAGTGGAAAAAGAGAGACTTACACAAGTTATAAATGAGTTAGATCTGAAAGCCGAGTCTAACGTTCTTAATGTGTCAGATCGGACTGTTAACAATGAGGTTGAGCAGAAGTTGTGTGCTCTTCTTAAAGAGGAAGAGATGAAATGGGCTCTCTGAGCTAAGGTGACAAAGGTCATCCAAGGTGATGACAACACCCAGTTCTTCCACATGATAGCAAATGGGAAACATAGAAAGAAGAAAATAATCCATCTTGAATAGGACGAGGGTACAATTGTAGGGCATGAGAACCTAAAGTTGTACATCTCCAATTATTATAAGAAACTTTTGGGGGCCCTCGAAGATAGTTTTTGTGTCACTTGATGAACGTGCAGTTGGGGACATACCTCTGCTCAACACAGACGAAAACGAAGTTTTGTCTGCTCCATTCACTGAGAAAGAGGTGTTTGACACGGTAACAAAAATGAAACAGAATAAGTCTCCTGGACCTGATAGGTTCCTAGCAGAGTTTTACAAGGAATGTTGGCATATCATTAAGGGGGATATCTGATGCTTATGTTCCATGAGTTGTTCAACGGACATTTACAACTTATTCACCTAAACTTTGGAACAATAATGTTGTTGCCAAAGAAGGAGGAGGTTGTGCGCATTGAGTAGTTAAGGCCGATATGTCTACTCAATGTGAGCTTCAAAATCTTTACCAAGGTTGGCACGAATAGGTTGACAAGGATTGCCCATTTGGTGGTGCAACCAACCCAGACGGCTTTCATGTCAGGGAGACACATCCTAGAAGGGGTTGTTGTCTTACATGAAACTCTTCACAAAATCCATTCGAAGAAACTGGACGGGGTTATATTCAAAGTGCATTTCGAGAAAGTGTACGATAAGGTCAAATGTCCCTTTCTCCAACAAGCCTTACTCATGAAGGGGTTCAATGAAGCCTGGAGGAAACATGCGGAATCCTTTATTCAGAAAGGTAGTGTTGGGATTAAGGTGAATGATGACACATGCCATTATTTCCAGATGCAAAACGGCTTAAGACAGGGAGACCCGATGTATCCTGTTCTGTTCAACATAATAGCGGATATGTTGGCAGTTCTTATCAGTCGAACTAAAGAGAATGGCCAAGTAGGAGGACTAGTTCCACATATTATGGATGGGGGAGTGTCCATACTACAATACGTGGATGGCATAATTATTTCATGGAACATGATCTCGTAAAAGCTAGAAATATGAAGCTAGTGCTTTGTTTATTTGAAGAATTGTCGGGACCCAAAATTAACTTTAACAAGAGCGGACTGTTCTGTTTTGGGAGAGCCAAAGAGGAACACGATGCATAGACAATTGTTGGGCTGCGAAATGGGTTCCCAACCATTTAGTTATCTAGGGATTCCAATTCACCATAGAAAATTATCGAATAAGGAGTGGAAGTGCATTGAAAAT